GTGAGGAAGATCAGCCCTGAGCTAACATCCATGCCAATCCTCCTCTTTTTGCTGAGGAAGACCGGCCCTGAGCTAACACCTATTGCCAATCCTCCTCCTTTTTTTCTCCAAAGCCCCAGTAGATAGTTGTATGTCATAGTTGCACATCCTTCTAGTTGCTGTATGTGGGACGTGGCCTCAGCATGGCCAGAGATGCGGTGCGTCGGTGCGCACCCAGATCCGAACCTGGGCCGCCAGTAGCGGAGCACCCGCACTTAACCGCTAAGCCATGGGGCAGGCCCCCCAAAGTAACTCTTAAGAACAGATCCAATCTGAAAACAACATGGACCACCAAAGATAAGGGTTTATTGTCATTTGAGATGTTCAGTGAAGTAGGGGTTGAATGAGACATCCTCTGTGTCTCTCTCAATCCCAAGATGCTCTGATTATCTGAAAATCAGCATCTCCCTTATTCCCATCTTTCAAGGAATATACCATATGTCTTATTTTTAAAAATTGTCTTATAAATCTTATACTAAAACTTTTGAAAAGAGAGAAAAGTAAACCCACATAATTCTACTGCCACAGCACAACCATTATTATCTTTTTAGCACATTTCCTGCTAGTCTTTTTTCCAAATGCATATTTTATTTCCATAATTGATGGTACTTTTACTGTTCATACCATTTTATACAACTTGTTTCACTCAATAATCTTTTATCCATAGTCATAATTTCTTTCAAATCTTTTAATTTGTTATTTTGAAACAATTATAGATTCACAGAAGTTACAAAAAATGTACAGGGAGGTTCTGTGTACCCTTTATCAGGTTTCTCCCATTAGTAACATCTTGCATAACTATAATACAATATCAAAACCAGAAAGTTGACACTGATACAATCCACAGAGTTTATTCAGATTTCATCAGTCTTACATGCAATCATTTGTGTGATGTATCTGTGTGTGTGTAGTTCTATGCAATTTTATCATATGTTTAGAATTGTGTATTCATCAAAATACAGACATTTTCCTTCACCACAAGGCTTCTTCTTGCTTCCCCTTTATAGCCAAACCTCCTCCCCGCCCTCCCCATTCCTAATCCCTGGCAACCACTAATCTGTTCTCAATCTCTATAATTTTGTTACTTCAAGAATGTTATATGACATAATCATACAGTATTTAATGTTTTGAGATTGGCTTTTTTCACTCAGCATAATTCCCTTGAGATCCATACAAGTTATTGTGTGTATCAGTAGTTCATTCCTTTTTATTGTCCAGTAGTATTCCATTGTATGAGTGTACCAGAGTTTGTTTACATTCACCCACTGAAGGACATCTGGGTCGTGTCCAGATTTGGGCTGTTACAAATAAGGCTACTATGAACATTTGTGTGTGGGCTTTTGTGTGAACATGTTTTCATTTCTCTGGAATAAATTGCCAAGTTGTGTGGTATTATGCATTGAATATTTGTGTCCTCCCAAATATTCATATGTTAAGCCTTAACTCCCAGAGTGGCTGTATTTGGAGTAAGGAAGTAACTAAAGTTAAATGAGGTCATAAGGGTGGGGCCTTGATAACTGCAGGATTTATGTCCTTATAAGAAGACACCAGAGAGCTCATTCTCTCTCTCCATGTGCACACACTGAGAAGAGGCCATGTGAGAACATACTGAAAAGGTGGCCATCTGCAAGCCAGGAAGAGAGCTCTCACCAGAAACAAAATTGGCCAGAATCTTGATCTTGCACTTCTAGCCTCCAGAACTGTGAGAAAATAAATTTCTGTTGTTTAAGCCACCCAGCCTGGAGTATTTTGTTATGGCAGCCTGAGCCAGCTAATATATATAGTAAGTGCAGTTTTAGTTATTTAAAAAAAGACCTGCCAAACTGTTTTCCAGAGGGGCTATATCATTTTACATTTCTATCAGCAAGGTATGAATGATCCAGTTTCTCTGCATCCTAGCCAGCATTTGGTATCGCCACTATTTTTTGTTTTAGCCATTCTGATAGATGTGCAGTGATACCCTTTTGTGGTTTTAATTTGCATTTCCTTAATGGCTAATAATATGGAACATCTTTTCATGTGCCATACTTTTTTTATTTCCTTAAAACTTTGAAATGTCAGGTACAAATCTCAGGCCACAAAAAATCATATGTGCTAAAAATTTAACCTTATTTTTCTGGAACTGAATACCATTTCTATTCTACACTCCTGTATCAGTCATATTTGCCAAAATAATTCAGCATAAGAAACAAACTCAAAATCTCAGTGGAATATAATAATAAACAATTTTTACAGGCCAACCTACACAGGGTTTAGCTGGATGGCTTTACTTGAAGCTGCAGATCTGACTGGGCATGGCTGGGGTGGCTCTGCCCCATGTGTGTGCATTTTGGAGTCCAGACCGGAGCAGCGGCTCCCTTGAGGAAGCTCTTCTCATGGTGATGGTAGAGGCTCAAGAGGGCATGTGGAAACATGCAAGCCTCTCAAGGCCTAGGCTTGAAACTGGCAAATTGTCATTTGCACCCACACACAATTGGTCAAAGAAAGTTATATTTCCAGGTCCAAAGTCAAATTTGGGGGAAGTACACTCTCAACCTTCTGTGTGAGAAACTACAAATTATATGGCAAAGGTCATGGAGATGAAAGGTAAATAATTGAGGCCAATAATTTGAATCTATCACCAACCCAACAACCCATCAGATGGTTAAAACTAATTCTTAGCTACATCAAGTTTTCCCCTTGGGGTTACATCTATAGATTAGGCAATGGGCTTTCATAATTCTAAGCACGAGGGGTGGGGAGCATCCTCTATGAGTAGTCGTCGTTTATCCATTCTGGCATCTTCTAATTCCCCTCTTCATTCCACTTTGCTCTTTAGTTATCAGTCTATACAGGTCCCTGTTACATCTTCTTTGGCCAATAGCAAAGCCTTTTCAAGTGGGTTAACTCTCTATCAAGTCTTCTTGGCCACTAGTAGGTCCTGTGGGGTCATACTTGAATGCTATAGAAATGTCTTAGGCACATCTGCCTATAGCCCATTAATAGGTGAATTATAAAAGTTCCCCCATCTCAGGGACACCTGAAAATTTGACTTGTGGTCTAACTTCTTGCAACACTAACTCAAAGAATGTATAGAAGTATACCAGATCCAAAGTAAACAAGGGTCCTACTGAGGTTGCTATGTACTGAGCATTGTTATATGGGCAAGCTACACATGGTTATTGAGATTGTTCATTGTTTAATCGTATAATCTGTGATTGATGCGATTCAGGAGCATTGGAGAATGGAATCTAGTCACGTACTCCTGAAAGGTTTACAATACTATAAAAATATAAATGCTAATGAGACCCCAGAGCATCCCTGATCTGAGGTAGCCCATACATATTCAGCCTCATCTCTTGTGACCTTGCAAGTCCTTGTGTATAGTAAAGGCATTGGAAGCCATGCCTGGGAGTCATAAGAACTTTGTTTGCCGTCAACGTGTATGGGGTTTTTCTTATCCTGCATCCTTTATTAAAGCTAGGTAAACTTGGTGCTGTGTGAAGCTGATGGTATCTTTTGAATGTGATTGTAAATCTGATCCTAAGACATCTTTTAGAGGTTTTTTAGAGTTCAAGTCTCCCTCTCCCACAAGGACTTGGCCCAATTTTGGCAGGGATGGACAGAGCAAAGGGCCTTTTTTCAGGAACCGCATTGGTATGCAAACTCTTTCCTGTTTTCTGAGCTTGCCTACCTTTTCCTCAGCCTCTGAAACTCTACCTTGGCTCAAGGGTGAAAAAAAACACTGTCTATTACTGATGATATAATCTTCTAAATCTTTTATCTTAATCCATAATATTAGCTTTGTTTTTCAACTGAAAAGCCAAAACTCTGACTCTGTTGTCTGTGCATTCTGGAATGTCAGCCCTTCTATGAGGAAGTAAAGGTATAATGTCTTAGCTATCTTGTTCGATCTCTAAATATAATCCTGTTGTACCTGGCAGATGAGGCAGAGTATTATATAGTGGGATGAGTATCAGCTTTGCTACCAAACACACCTTGGTTCACATCTCAGTTTCAGCTCTTAGTAGCTGTATAACATGCAGCAAATCAATTAAAATTAACCTCTCTGAGTCATTTAATAAAAACTAACAGTTTTAATTACTGTTTGGTTACGCCCACTCTTCCTTCAGATCCTCTCAACTCTTTTTCTCCAATGCCACAAAGATTTCACATTCCTTACATTAGAGTAAGGTGCCGTATTTAAGTAGCAGTCTTTCTCTTCACCAGTTTTGGTGGGGTTTTTTTGTTTTTGTTTTTGTTTTTTGGGGGGGAAGAAGATTAGCCCTGAGCTAACATCTGTTGCCAATCCTCCTCTTTTTGCTGAGGAAGATTGGCCCTGGGCTAACATCTGTGCCCATCTTCCACTACTTTATATGGGAGGCCGCCACAGCATGGCTTGACAAGTAGTGCATTGGTCTGCGCCCAGGATCGGAACCTGCGAACCCTGGGCCGCTGCAGTGGAGCATGCAAACCTAACCACTACGCCACCAGGCCGGCCCCAGTATTGTGATTTTTTTTCCCCTAAGCTGGGAGTCAGCACACTATCCGTAAAAAGCCGGATGGTAAATATCTTAGAGTGTGTGAGCCAAATAATTTCTGTTGCAGCTGCTTAACTCTGCCTTTATAGCAGGAAAAGCAGCCATAGATGGTATGCAAATGAACGGGCGTGGCTGTGTTCCCCCAGCACCTAATTTACAAAAACAGGCCATGTTGGCTGTGGTCAGTAGTTTGAGGACCCCTATACCACACTGTTGAATTCAGGACTGAGCACTTTTTGTTTGTTACTGCAGCAAGTTTTCTTCCCATCTTCTCTCTGACTCTCCTTTTCCCATCACGTCCGACCTGACTGGGCACCCTCTGTGTGGAAATATCTACCCCAGAAAATTGTGGGATTATGCCTGTATACCCTAGATTTTAGTAAATTGTCGTGTCGTGAAACTAGTTCATCTTTCTTAGTAGTACAAAGAAGTATCGTAATTGAGATCTCAGTTGGCAGGAGCATAAGGCTGGGTTTTAATTTAGATCTAAAATTACAATAATATGAAGGAACAATTTCTTCCCCTAGGGGTTTTCAGGGCTGTTTTGTTGAGTTGAGATGACAGGTTTGTGTGTGCCTGTTACTCAGACACACAAAAGCTGGAGATTGTTTGCGGTGTTTGGTACTTGCTTCACTTTGCCAACTAATTATTTAAATGGAAAAAGTCCATTAGACTGATCTTATATTGGAGCTATTTTAGGAGGTCTGTTCTCCTTGGTCGAAGGTAGCAGATAACTGCCAAATCTCCAGCATCCTGGAAGACGGAGAAGAATGTTCTTTGAACTGTCTTGTTTGTGTTTATTTAGGTGGTTTAGTTGCTCTTCTGTTTTAACACCAACATACCAGATCAGAAATGAACAAAATTTGCTATAACTTGGAACAGAATTATTCTCTGTAATTCAAGGATATTTGGTTATTTAATATGAAAAACATCTCAGTAAATTAGAACCATCTTCCCAAGGGCTTCTGTCATGAAACCTTTGCCATACATGTAAATCTTGCCCCTTCTCTAAACTGTGGGTGGACTTTTATCTGTTACAGCTATTTATGCTAGATCAGGGTTTTTCAACATTGGCTTTTTTGACATTTTGAACTGAGTAATTCTTTGTCGTGGGGGACTATCTTGTTCATTGTGGAGTGTTTAACAGCGTCCCTCGCCTCGGCCCACTACATGCCAGTAGCTTGACAACCAACAGTGTCTCCAGTCAACAGTGCCAGCTGTCCCCTGATGGGCAGAATCACCTCTGTTTGAGAACTATTGGTCTAGACCAGCCAGCTAAGAATGATGGCTGAGATCAGAGATTTTCACAGGTGACTGTGTCATAAGGACAGACACAAGGTCACCCAAGATCTGTTCAGGTCGTGGAGAAGGTTGAAGACCCAAGGGAGTTGGGAGGGAGTCCTTGGGACCAAGGCAGAGTTAGGCTAAGCCTGTTCCTTTGGTTAGGTGATGACCTGCAAGACTAGCAGAGTTGCTTGTAGAGATAAGTACACTAAGGGCAGCCAGAGAAAGCCTCAGGTCCTGGGGTGGAGCGTTAGGCCCCAATACGTTCATCTCTAGCTGAAGTGAATGAAAGGAGAGACTTGCTCTTGGTTTTGACAGATTCCCTGCTTTCAGGCACTGATTTAGAATGTCACTTGTTCCCTTCAGACAGAGATCACATTCTTGCTATAGAAGACGATTGTAGTTAGTAATTTGTAGGACTGTTGTGTTTTGATATGATCAGAGAGGTAGTTTCAGCTCTAGGAAAGAAGTGTTTCCTTAAAACGGAAGTTGCAGTTTGCAAATAGGCACACCCTAGATAACAATTTAACTCCTAGCAAAAATTTTGGGACAGTTAATTGGTGTTAAATCTAGTTATGTGATAATGCTTTAGGCCAGGGCCATACTACTCAAAGTGTGGGCCCCACCATCCCCTTTGTGCTTGTTAGAAGTGCGGAGTCTCAGGCCTCACCCAGCCTCACTGCATCAGAATCTGCAGGCTTGCAAGCTGTCCAGGTAGTTGGAATGCACATTAAAGATGATGAAATGCTGTCCTAGAGCAGTGTTGTTTAACGCTTGCCTGCTGTGATGCATACTGTTGCTGCTGGCTGTGGCGACATAAGAGTAAGCAAGTGTCCTGGTTGCGCTAGCTGTGATGCTTTCCTCTTCTTTCCTTTCAAAGCATTTTAAAATTTAAGTTGATGCCACTATTAGCTGTTTCATTTAAAAATAATAGATCAAATTCAAAGGAAAGTAGTTGTCAATCTTTGGTGCTTTAATTTTGGAAATAACCAATTCTGTATGATATATTGCACCAGCTGCTTGACACATCTTGACCTTTCTGTTGAGAGTCCCTGCTAAGGGATAGACAACTTTCCAACGCAGTTTTCTCTGTTCTTTTATAAATGGAGAGAAGCAGTCATGCAGATATTTCAGAGCTGTTTTTCCTGTATGAAAGTCTGTGATTTTTCTTCTGATGAACACAGCTGAATCTACATTGTGAATCATAGGCCACAATTTATTTTCATTTGGCACTCAGTATATTTGACAGATTTCCTAAGGGATGTTTAAAATTAGCTTGCAGTGTATTCGGGAAATGAAATTTGAAATATTAATGACTAGTGTAAACAGCTTTCAGCGTAACGAAAAGTAACCTGTTTTCAAATGATTAAAACAGCGAATCCAGTATGCAAAAACAGATTCTGATATAATATCTAAAATGCGTGGCACTTTTGCTGACAAAGAAAAGAAAAAAGAAAAGAAAAAAGCCAAAACCGTGGAACAGACAGCAACAACTGCAAACAAAAAGCCTGGTCAGGTGAGATGGACAAGAAGGTCCTGTTTTTTTGGTGTTAAAAACTTGACAGGGATGTCTGTCTTCCCCTTAAGGGTTGATCTTTGAGGCGTGTGTGCGCGCACAAAAGGCAGACTTTTAAGAAGCTGGAATGGTTGAGTTCTAAAATCTCAATATTTATGCTTAAGCATCAAATTACAGTAAAAACCTTTACATATGCAGATTTATAGTAAACAGTTTTATTTGAATTTGCATGACATTTAGTTCCATCCTTCTGTAAAATATGTTAATATCCGTTGGCTTATGTCTCAAGTTCTGCTGCCTGTAAATAGTGCTGTAGATATTATCTTTAATCATGAGTACTCCACTCGAAGCTACTTTCTTTAAACAATTCAGGAATTCAAAATATAATTTAAATTACCAGATAAAAGTGAAATTATCATCCAAAAAGTAGTTACTTTTGGATTGAAAACGATTAGAAGTCAGTTTCACTAAGTATAATGTTTGACTTTTGTCTAGTTGTTAAAAAAAAAAGCAAGAAAGACTGGTTCTTGGTTTTTCCATGTATTTCACCATAATTTTATATTTTATATTACAAATATATAATGTTAATATATTCATAAGTTTACAGCTTAGTAGTTAAATTTTATGATATAATCTTTAAAGTGTAGGGCTAGATCTTTCAAAAATAACTGACAAGTTAAATACATGAATGTTTGAGTCAGAGTTAAGATGTAAATTCTTAAATTAAGTGGAGTAAGAAATCTGTTTCAATGAATGCTATTTGTATGCAGTAATTATAAATATGAACACCTGCAGCTTTTTTAGAGTGATTGGAAATTTTAACTGTTTCCCTATTTCTTTTGTTTAGGGAACACCAAATTCAGTGAATACCCAAGGAAATTCAACAGCAAATCCTCAGGTAATGTTTTTTCCATGGAGTGCTTACTTTTTAAAATAAAATTATAAAACAATAAGAATAACATGCAACTTACATCTCTCTAAAAACTGAAAATAATTCCATCTAAAAGACACAAGACATTAAATTATGTAACACTTTAATATGGAAACTCACTTCTCAAAACATTTCAATTTTCTTTGAGAGGGAGAAAACAAAACCTGACTTTATTCCTTGCTTTCCCTAATGTATCAAGGATGGAATCAAAATGACAGACTTTAAACTCCGTGAGGGCTAGGAGCAGACCTTTTTGTTTTCCCCTCAGTACATTGCCTAGCCCAGGGCTTTACAGACACACAGCTCGGGGAGTCTGGCCAGGCGACGGACTCTCTTCCACTCCAGTCGGCTGAAGCACTGCACCGTCTTTTCTAATAGAGCAAAGTTGTTTTACAGTTCCTCTTGCTCTTACTTCCTCAGAACAAATATATTTAAGTCTCCTTAAATGTTTTAGAAAGTCCTTACCAAGTCTCCTCGCCAAAGGCCTCAAAGAGAAAGCCTCACTTACCTGCTAATGGTTTCCTCCTTGGTTCCTCAGATGCTAGAGCCTGACAGGATCTTTAAATCCATAGAAGTCCTTGCATTACTAGGATTTTTCTCTTCTGATTTTTATTTGCATTTTCTTATATTGCCTACTAATCTCTTGAAGTCTTGCAATAATTGTAGTCCAGTTCACAAATGCCAGCTTAATTCTCTAAGCCCTTAAGTTCTTTACACTTCATGAAACTAGCCTGAAGACAGAGAAGCTCTTATACACAGGACCCTCTCTCTGTGGTTCCCCATAACCTCAGGGTGGGGTATCAGATAATTCATTTAGTAACAGTGCTTGTTTCTACTTACTTGTATGTAGCTGGATGCTATGTGTATCTCATTTACTTGCAGAAAAATTAAAAGTCACCAAGTAGTGGTTCTAAGTGGTAATCTTTCTAGTTCCAATTTTTCTTAAATGCTGGGAGGTGGTAAATAATAATTCAGAGGAATTGAATATCTGAGTGTTATTACTTGGATAACCAGCTGAAGAGGGGGGACGTTGCTGCCTTCTGTAGTTTTGTTAGGATCTTTAAATTATGTAATCCAGATGACAAAATCCTCCAATTACAACTGACCCTCCAGATGCTTAAAACTTAAATATTGTTTTAAATACTTAAAAACTGTTAATAAGATTTGTAATCATCTAAATATGTTTGTAATCATCTAAATATGTATTAAGTGACTTGAATGTCTGCTTTGCTTAGTTACTGTTAGGTTTGTGTTTATTTCTCTGGTGTCATTGTTTTGCAGCTTTAGTGTTGGATGTAGTAAGATTTCATAAGCCTTAATAAGCTGTAGAATGTAGCTCTCTGAGGTTTAGATTTTAATATAAGAGCCAAATGGCTCACAATACTTTTTATGCTTAATGCTAACTTCGCGTTTTTTCTTTTCAATAGGTCCCTGATTACCCTCCAAACTATATTTTATTCCTTAATAATTTACCAGAAGAGACTAATGAGATGATGTTATCCATGCTGTTTAATCAGTAAGTTTTTTCGTAAACAAATCTGTTCTGAGAGCTTCTGGAGGACAAACGGGGCCTCCATGGTTTGAATCCATCTGTGTATCACACGACAGCAATTCTTTACAGGTCATTGATTTGGTGTGGGATTAATCATGAATTGAAGCCAGTCTGCAGATTTAGCAAATAAAAAGCTAAATTACCTCAAATGTTTGAATTATTAATTCTGATTGACGAGTAAAACAGGAAACAAAGCTTTGCTGTAATGATAAAAATAGAAATAGCTTACATTATTCCTGCAGTTCTTTCATGGTATTAATTAGATTTTAGACTCAGCCTACTCGGGATTCTTGATTGGATATGATACTTTTCCTGGGCCAATATCAGGAAGTCACTTAACGAATTTAAACACAGAATAGACATTTATGTATTTGATGTCGTATATATAAATTGTTTTTCTTTTTCTGCTTAGGTTTCCTGGTTTCAAAGAAGTACGTTTGGTACCTGGGAGGCATGACATTGCATTTGTTGAATTTGAAAATGATGGACAGGCTGGAGCTGCCAGGGATGCTTTACAAGGATTTAAGATCACACCGTCCCATGCCATGAAGATCACATATGCCAAGAAATAACGTTTGGGATAGTTGTCTTTAAAGGACTTGGTGTTATTTATAGTGTTTGTTTTGATAACATTTTGTCAGGCCATTTTAATAGTTTGGGGTCAGGCGGAAGTGAAACTGAAATTTTTGTGAGGGATTTAAAAAATTACCTAGTCTTTCTTGAGCCTTAGTGAATGAACTATGAAATATGAAGACCTTAATTTTGTACAATAAACTTTTATTTGTATTCTATACATGATACTTTGTTTTCTAGCCCACTGTCCTGTCACTAAATGCTTTTGCTAGCCTAGAACATATCTTACAGTATGTAAAACTGTAATAGAGTGCTTTTCTAGTATTATTTTGGAGCAGCCAATGGTAGAGAAACATTGAACCATTTTACTAAAAGTAAAGGAGAATTAGATCAGCCCTTGATTAGATTTTCTGTAATGTTATTTTTTATGCATACGAACTGCCGTCTTGGAGTTTGTTCTTTTTTTTTTAATGAGTCATCTTAACGGTAAAAATGATTATCCTGGATATTAGAAGAAAATAAGACTTGGGCACGATCTAAATTTGATCTTATTCTTCAAATAAATGAGCATAGTGTTTTGCTGGTAGTAGGCATATCACGAAATCTTTTCATTCAGTGTTTAATTGAATAATGGCCGTTTAGGAGGAACTGTACGTACTGTTTTCTGGAAAAACAGAAGGCAAGGGAATGCTGTCTTCAGACTTCAAATTTCTTGCTCTCACCTGCTTGAGGCAGTATTGTCCCTAAGGAATATCTGCTTGGTTAATATCTAGCCTCTTTATTGAGAGACCTCCACGGGAAAGAGTTTATAGTCAATGAGTCTGAAGACAAATAGTCTGACTTGCAAAGGGTTGCCAGTCCTAATCTTGCTACCTCTTTTTAATTCTCAAACACCAATGTTCACATATTCCCAAAGCTCATTTTCTTTAGCATTTGATTTATACCTAAGGTTATTGATTCAGTCCCCTGCTAATAAAACCATAGATATCTTTAGAAGTGGATAGCTTTTTGCATGTAGAGCACATCGTAAAGTGACACTATTGATCATTTTTTGTGTTCCTCTTTTAATATTTCTTTGAACAAAACTTTTCCTTATTAAATTTTTATTGTATACTTACAGAATGACTATTTTTAGAATTATGTAGATTATTATCACATCACTCTTGTGTGTATATAAGGAGGAAAAAAGTAAAATAATAATTTTTCCTAAAGCTTGGCCACATTCAGAGTCTGACTCTTCTGAATAGCTTTGTTAAGCTAGTTGTCAAGTTCGTGTACTTTTATCGACTATGTTAACTGAATTACTAGAAAAAGGACTGTGCTCTTGGATGTTACAGCAGTGCTGGTTGCTGTTCAGTGTTCTAACTGCTTACTCTTAATGACTGTCTTTGGCTTGTCTCAGAACAGAAAATACTTCACAGACCCAGCCCCTCTGAATGGCTGTGTGAGAGAACGTGGAAAGGGGTCGGTTAGCTGGAGTGGCAGGAGAGAAGCGGGGGGCGGGGTAGGCCTTTGTAGAGACTTGCTTATGCTGTGTGAAATAGGGAACTCTTAGAGGACTTTTAAAATTGAGTTCTTTACGTAGAATAAAATGCACTCATTTCAGTGTGATTTTGATGAGCTTTGGCAGTTGTGTGCAGGTGTGTGGTCATGATCAAGATGTAGAGCATTCCATCACCCCTCAAAGCCCTGTTGTGCCTCTGCAGCCACTCTATTTCCCCATCCCCGACCCCAGGCAACCACTGATGTGCTTTGTATCACCAGGTCGTGCCCTGTCTAGACTGCTGCTGAGGTTCATCGCTATTGCATGCACTAGCAGTTTGTTCTGCCAGTAGATGGGCATTTGGGTTCCAGTTTGGGGCTATTATGAGTAAAGTGGCTATGAACATTCACATACAAGTTACATACATTCACATACAAGTAGACGTATGTTCTGGTAGAAGATTTCGAGCAAAGGAGTGACATCTGATTTACTTTTGAAAGCTTTTTATTTTGATACAATTTCCAGTTTATATAAAAGTTGCAGAAATAGTACACAGAGCTCCCATAAACGTTTCCAAACCATTTGAGTGTGTTGACCTGATTCCTCATTACCTGTTAGTACTTCAGTGTGTATTTCCTAAGTGCAAGACCACTCTCGCACATAACTACAATATGACCAGCAAAATCAGGAAATAACAGTTCAATATTTCATCCAATCCAATTCAGGTTTTGCTTACGTCCCAATAATGACCCAAGAATGCAATCTGGTATCGTGTGTTGCATGTAGTTGTCATGTCTCTTTAGTCTCCTGTCAGTTCCTCAACCTTTCCTTATCTCTCATAATCTTAATTTTTTATAAAGATGTCTATAAATACATATCTATACAGTTACATAAAAACAATGAATTTACATGAGCACCTCTAATTGCAGTCCTTAGCACAGAGTATACTCTAGCCTTCCCCCCTTCCTTGTTTGTGACTCTCCACCAGTCCCATTAACCTCAATGTATTGACTTATTTGCTCAGGTCTCCCCGTGATGTAGCCAAACTCTAGAAAGCAGGGCTTCACAAGGGAGGAGGGGGAAGGAAAAAGGAGCTAAACTGCACTTGGAAGATTTAGTCCATCTAGGACCTTCTGACCTTCCTTGTCTTACCGATCTGTGGGAGTGGGAGTTGCAAGGAGTGTTTGGAGGGAGTAGACGTTGCTTTCTATCTAATGTCATGGTTCTCAACTTTGGCTGTGTATTAGAATCATCTGGGAAACATTTTCAAATACCCATGCCTAATCTACACCCCGTATCAATTAAATGACAGTCTCTACGGGGGAAACCTAGTCGTCAGTATTTTTTAAGCTCCCTGGGGGATTCCAGTGTGCGTCAAGGTTAAGAACTAACAAAGCAGATTTCTACCTTAATGAAGTGGGTTATAATAATTAGATCATTAATTGAAACTGCATTTTTCAAAGGCAGTATATTGATAAATAGAAGATAGTGTAAAATTGGAACCTATTGTGAGAGGCTCGCATCTCCATTTTAAGTTTTAAGGCTTAAAGTATTTTCTGTTTGAGTATTTAACACACATTTTGTCCGTTGAAAATGTTGTATCCAGCAAAGACCTAAAGAAGAGTGTGAAGCCCTAACTAAAAATGTTTGCTTTATTTGATTTGCCCTCGAGCAGTTCTCATACTTGACTGTTCATACGAATCACTTGAGCATCCTGTTAAAATGTAGATTCAGATTTAGCAGGTCTGAGTGAGTATTTCTGTAAAGTGATGCCAAAGTTGCTGGTCTGGGGACCATGCTTTGATGGCAAGACCCCAGAGTGTCTGCCCTAATAATTTAGTCAGTGAGTCTTAATTTGGGGGATGTTATGAACCTCTTTTTAAACCTGATAAAACCTGAGGACTTTCCCCAGGAAAAAAAAAAAAGTACATGTGCATGTATACACCTAAGCAAACAATTTCAGGGGGATCATGTGCTTATTCAATAAATACCTATTTATGAGTACCAAGTATTTGTAGTACAAGTGATTGTAGTGTTGGGGGACAAACCACCACTAAGTAAATAAACAAGGCATGTCAAATAGTGATGCATGTGTTAGGACCTTCTGCCACGGTCACGTGATGGTAGATTGGGTTGGAGGAGTGCAGGGAGTGGGTCTGTTAAACACAGCTTCTGTCTGTGGAAACATCTTGCCCAGAGACCTGAATGCCAGTATCTGGAGGAAACCATCCCAGGCAATCAGCCCAGAGGGCCTGAGGTAGAAATGAGATTAGCATTTTCAAAAGTTAGAACAGCTCGTATGGTGGGAACAGAGCGAGTGACAGGAGATGACTTCAGAGGGGCAGAGAGGCCAGATCATGCAGGGCCTTGGGGGTCATGGCGAAGAGGCTGCTTCTACCCCACCCGCTTGCCCAAGCCTAGTTTTAGTCCCTAAGGGATCCACAGCCTCCGTTTTAAGAACTCCAGACTGAGAAGCTAATTTAGGAACTGAAAGAAAAAGTCTTTTGGGGATTAAAGGCTCAGAGAATACATGGGAAAATTGAGGAAGGAGGTGAGCAAGCTGAGACAGATACTGGCCTCCCAGTATCTGCAGTGTCTTGAGCGTAGCTGTCAGGCAGCTGCTTGTTGAATTACTGCAGGTGTAAATTCCTATTTGCAAGCAAAATTTTACGAAGAGGCCTCTAGTCTCCATTCCGTCTCTTCCCACTGCGGAATGCTGGGACATCCGAGGTCCGCCCAGGGTGCGCCCCGAAGGCTCGACACCTCTCCTCTTACTTCACCCTCAGATGGCCCGTACTGGCTTCACGTTAGCATCAGCCTTACCTTGCTCAGTTGCTGTGAAAGCTTGGATGTGGCCCTGTTCAGGGTTTCACTCTGCTCTGGGGGCACCTGTAGACGGCGTAGTGATCTGTTTGTGCAGTCCCCATTTCTTAAAGTGCCTCTTAAATGGCAATTGTCTTTTAACTCTCCCGTGATGAGGGCTGGCTTGAGACTAACAGTCTGTAAAACAGCTGCCCGAGCAGGATTAAGATGTAATTAATGTTTTAGTTTTCCCAGAGATCCTCTTAGACCCCTAGATTATAGAAAGGAAAAACGCACTGACAATCTGCTTCCAAAGATGACTTCTAACTCCGTTCTTTCCTTGAAGTGACACAGGAAATAAAGGATTTAAAATCCCAACTCTATTTTGACAGGATGAATGGAACCAGCCCTGGAGCACAATCCTGCTGGGGAACCTTTAGATTGGGTGGTTGGGAAAGGCGGCCTCGGCCTTGGCTGGGCCTCAGTTTCCTTGTCTATAATGAAGATAATTGAATTAAACGAGTTCCAAATCAGGGCCAGCTGTATAAAAGATCCTTCCCTGAAAATCACACACACACCCCCCAACCCCCCACATCCAAACAATAAAACTTTATTACACACACATGCACACACATAGCCAAAACAATCAAACTTTTTATTATACTATAAGTATATTTTGCTTTACCAGTCTATCCCTTGAAAAACAGTTTTGTACAGAATTATTTTGTAAGTTGATTGCTTGTCCCTCATTTTGTGAGGTGACCACATTTGGGCGAAGGAAGGAGGAGGTTCTGCTCTGAAACCTCACCATCAACCAAGTTGGACAGGGCATCCCGACAGGGACCTTAATTCTAGAAATAACCAGAGGGAGCACCTTAGAGAGATGCCAGCCCCAAACACCCTATAACAAGCAGCAACCCATTGTCTGTCTCTCCTAATAGAAAGTAAACTCTTGGGGCCTTTTTTAATTCACTGCTGTATCTCTGATGTTTAGAACAGTGCCTGGCACACAGTAGTTGCTCAGTGAGTATCTGTTGAATAGATGGAGCCAGGTGTTAGTGCTTCAACTTGGTGACTTCTAGCAGGGCCCTCTTTCCATGGGAAAGATGCTGGGAAGCAGGCAACGTGGGGTGGGAGGTAACACAAACCTCTAGCTTTACTCCCTTCTCTATGATCCATGATCCATGAGCATTTGAGACTGAATTTCAGAGAGAGAAGGTGGAAAAAAGATTGTTCTGTTTTTCCCAACCTACCCATCCCTTTCTTTCCCCATTAGTAGGGTCTGGATGTGACAACAACTAGTGTGTTACAACCCATGTCTGCCCCAGGACAGACATGACTTCTAAGAATCCTATCATGAATGATTTGTAAACTTAAGCATCCTTTATTCATCTATTATGTAAATCCAAATGTTTATTAATTTGATTTGTTTAAATCAAAATTATTTGTACGCATATTCAACAGGTTCCTACAGTTAGCACATCTTTGCTCATAAGTTGAAAAGATAAGAGTTGAACTAAAAAAAATCTTAAAAAATGATTTAAAATTCTCATAGTTCCTTCAACAATGTCCTGCTGATGCGATAAACCACGGTGAAGGTGACTTTAACAACGGGCCATTGTGGATATTATTTGTGTATAAAAAAGACACAGAGTTTGAGTCTTTTTGGAAAATCAGATGCCAGATAGCCCCCGGAGGCCAGCAGCTGTTATGAAAGCAGGGGAATGGTAGACACCACCTCATTGGCCCGGGGCATTTACCCAGATGTCTGGCTTTCACATAAAAGACAGGAACCACTGGAGTGAGTTTCTACTTCCACCCAAACAGCAGCAGCAAAACAACAAAGAAAGAAGATGGCAAGACTATTGAAACTTTTCTTCCCAGGTCTTGTGGCTGTGTGTGCCGTGCATGGAATATTTATGGACAGACTTGCTTCCAAGAAGCTCTGTGCAGATGACGAGTGTGTCTGTAAGGACTTTTTTATGCCTTTCATTATCTTTCTTTTATATAATTGAAAAAATACCACTAACAGCATAAAATCTGACTGTACTTGGAAGTGCCTCTTCTGTAATGTGCATGTGATTGGCACTGTGTCTCCTGGTCTGTCCTTTGGCATCTTGCTATGGAGAGTTCCCTTGGCTAAGATTCTGTTGGATGTAGCTTTAACCCCTTGGATATCTTACTCTTCTTGAATTGAACACGAGCTGTAAACTGGGATGGATTAGTCACTCTGATTTCCTAGTTTTCTGGTTTGCCCTGTCTTTTTACTGTTATAAAATCCAGGAGCCTAAAATGTAGTCATTTCAATGTTTTTTTCTTCCAGATACTATTTCTCTGGCCAGAGCTCAAGAAGATTACAATGCCCCAGACTGTAGATTTATTAACGTTAAAAAAGGGCAGCAGATCTATGTTTACTCAAAGCTGGTAAAAGAAAATCAAGCTGGAGAATTTTGGTCTGGCAGTGTAAGATGAGATTATCAAAAATACGCACACATCTTGACATATGTTGCTCTTAATTTTTCCTCTATTCCCTGTCTTCAATGCATTTTAACATTTAAAACTAGTTAAGAACAATATAGAGGTTGTAGATGCAAATGCAAAAATTCATGTATATTTGCTTTTATTGCATTTTAAAGAAACAAAGATAATTTCATAAAAAAACCAAATGTAGGTTTATGTGATGTTTTGGCAAGAAAAACCAATCAAACATGTAGAGGCTTGAACATTCCACAGAGTTTGACTCTCGTTCAAAAATGTTTGAGCGGATTTGCCAAGTAAAAGGCATTGTGTTGGCAGTCAGTCTATGTTTCAATATTTTTAAGGAAACTTTAGCACACTCTTTAATGCCAAAGAATCTGCTTTCTTCAGTAAAAACATGCAGGAGTGGGCCCTGGGGAGGGATGAAGCGGGCTTGATTTACCGTCCTCATCTGCAGCCCCACAGATAGATTTTCAAGTGATGCAGAACTAAATCTTAAATTCAGTCAAGTATCTGTTTATTTGAATTTTTAAGAACTGAGAAATATGAGTCCTTTAAAATAAAAGTGTATATTTACTTTTTAAAAAAATTTACTGATTTTATTTATTTATGGCTTCCAAAAAGGTTTCAGGCAGCTCACAAGATTGCATAAAATAAAGGAATACTAAATTAGTGAGACCAGTAAGACCAGGCCACAAAAGAATAGATACACGATTTCTGTGGATTAATTTAGTTGCTACAAGTGAATTTCAGATTTGGCTCTGAGCCTGCTGGAATCCACAGGGAAAAGCGAGGCATTGGAAGTCACGTAATTCTCATTAATAGCAAGGAGGATGCCTGAGGATTGCTAGAAGACTCACATCAGCTTTCCCCTGACTGTTGCGCTTCTGGGCACTCAGGTTTATGGCGATCGCCATGAGGATGAGATGGGAACCGTGGGTTATTTCCCCAGCAACTTGGTCGAGGAGCAACACGTGTACCAGGAAGCCACCAAGGAAGTCCCTACCACGGTAAGCATCACAGAGGTGGCCAGAGAAAGACTCAGCTCTTGGGATAATTTAGGCTGGTATTAAAAATACATCATGCAACTTACCAATGTATCAACCAAAGCACTCAACTTCCAGTGGTGACTTCTCTGAGATGGTGTGGTTCAGGGAGCATTATACCTACTACCAGATGTTGAAAGATTAGTGAACTTGCTCCACTGATCACTTTTTGTTTTGGAGGCAAGTTATCCTGGAAAGGAGTCCATGTCACAAAGAAAGAAATCAAAGTGGTATTAGCTGACTCTTACTGATGGTTATATTTATTTACTAAAAGAACTGGGCCGAGAAAAAAGTTAGCACCTGTATTTAATAAAATCAAAACATTCTGGAAAAATCTTTGAATGCCTTATTTTTGTGGTAGATAGACTTTACTTATGTATGAAACAAATTATACTCTTTCTAATGCCCTGGGGTCTCATAAACCCAGGACAGAAACAAAAGATCCCCTTTGAGCTACTTTGCAAGGTGGTTGTTTTGAATCGATTCTCCTGGAGCTAATTGCTGTGATAATAACTTCAAAACATTGCCCAGACTACACAAATGGGACTCACTTGTCATTGCTTCTTAGCAGTGAGCTTGAATATGTCAAATAACCATAAATTAAAAGGGTATTTGAGAACCTTCATTTTAAGTAGTTTTTGACTTAAAGTGATAATTATGTCATACTCTTTGGGGTTCAACTTTTACTTCTTTTAAATCCAAATTTCTCTTAGATCACGTATGATTTTAAATAAAGAACCTACATCTGTTTTCTGGCCCTGCCTACTCAGTTCAATCTTTTTTTGTTTTTGCTTTTTTTCCAGGATATTGACTTCTTCTGCGAGTAAGAAATTAGACAAATCTGGAGACAGACAGAAAACACCAAAAATAAAGATAAAATGAAAATAAATAATCAAAAAATGCATGTCCCCAATTTCTGACTTTTGTTTCCAGGGTTTGTTATCTTACAGGAGGGCTGGGGCTTAGGGCCGGACGTGGCAGATAAAGGAGGGGCTTCAACTCAGTCTTGCTTTCTGCAGGCCTGGTCTTCCCACCCTCTGGGCCAGGGCGATGTTCTGCTCAAGTGGGCGAATTGAAAGCAGAGAATTGTTTTCCAGCCTTGAAAATCTTCTCTTACACAGGAGGCATAGAGAAGATGGTGTATTTGTAGCTATTTCTAAATAGTAATTCTTCCCAGCTCTTTGGCTCCCTGTATAAACTTGATAGATCACAGGTCTTCCCTTTGGACATGATGTTTTCTACTTATTTATAAGTCTCTCTGGCTAATTGGAGTGTTATAAAGTACCCAAAGGGGCTGTATCACCAAGGAGTATTCTAGAATTGTTGTTACTTTTAATATTTGATGGCTTTGGGATGTGAAGCTGTTGGAGGGAGGGAAGAGCTGTTATTTCAGACAAATTATTTCTCATAAGTTATTTCAATTGAATAATTTTCCTTTCTAAATGATCAATTTACCTCTCTCCAAATTTTAATTAAGTATGTGTGTATGTAGTGGGAGTGGGGAAGTTTATGAAATATTTTTAATGGAATTAAGTTTCCCCTTAACATGTGCTGTCACTGGATGTCATTCAAGCTTCAAGTCGAAAGACAAGGCAAAAAAAAAAAAAAAAAGTCTGTGAGTTATTTTCTCTATTTCTATTTCAACTTTAAATTTCCTTTTTCTGTCAAGGATGATGTGTCAAGAAATATGGTGAGGGGATGCAGATCTGGTGGTCCCAATGGACCCACACGTTTTTCTATATTTAACTGGAAATCTGCTTTGATTGTGTATTGCTAATGTAATTCTTTTGATGTAGTCATGAATTTTTGTTTGTTTACATGTAATTAAAATGCATGTACTGTATTAAAAAAAATTCACAATTTCTGAGTTAAAAAATATTTTTTTAAACATTTTTCACCTTGGGGTAAAGAGAGTCTAGGGGTGGGGGCTTGGGAATGGGGTTTGTTCTTCAGTTTTCTGTGGTCTGGTCATCTCACAAGCATGAAGAGGAGGGCATTAAGGACAAGTTGGAGACTTGGACCCCAGGGTCATTTTTCAGCTGTGTCCACTATGACTGGGTGAATATGTTTTTGCCAAAGTCTTGTGGAGACTTTGGCAAAAACCCCCCAAACCAAAAAAAAAGCCCCCCAAACCCAAACCCACTAGTTTCTATCTTGCTTTCTTCCATAAAAGGTTTCAGGCAGCGTCTAGGGCTCTCAACACAATTTTACGGTAAGAAGCATTTAGTCTACCTCCGTTTCTATCTGCCTCTCACTTGCTGGCCCCCCAACCCCGTTCCAGATACCCAGTCACCCCTCAAGACACCCAGCACCCCCACTGTGCCCTCAGGCTGCTGAAAGCCCTCCACCTGTCTGGCCTCATGCATCCAGCCTCACTGCCCAAGCACAGTGCTTCAGGCTGCAGATTCCCTCCACACCCCAATCAGCCCCCACCCACCAGAACTGATCTCATCCAGTTTAGAGGTCACTGATTTAAATCTCTGGCGGTGGGGGAGGGGGCCGCTATCTGCATTGAAGGAATGAAAGCACTTGCAGGAACTTCAAATGCTGTGTAGACTCTCGGAATGCAAAATGCCATCCCTGGACCAGTGGCAGTGTGGGCCTGACCTGGGAGCTGGTTAGCAGGCAGAATAGAATCTCAGGGCCCACTGCGGACCTTCTGAATCAAAAATCTGCATTTTAACAAGGCTCTCAGGCGATTCAGGTGCGTGTTGTAGGCAAGGAAAAACTTCCTTCTCTCCTTTCAGGTTCTGTGGCTGGGCCTAAGAATTAAACCAACATAAGGCAGATTAACAGGAGGGAAACATACAAATTTTGTTTAATATCTTTATATGTATGTGAGTCTTCAAAAGCAAAACGAAGACCTGAAGAAGCATCAGGCCCGAAAGCTTCTGCTGTACACCTTTGTAAACAAAAACCATAAATTGTGGGGATGTGACAAGACGGGGCGGCTTGGGCTCAGGACAGTAAATTGTGGGACAGTGACCAGGAAATATATGAGACACTAGTGGCAGGTAAGGGTTATTTCAGGAGGTTTGTTTGTGCAGGCCATTTCAGCATCAGCGCTCCGTCTCGGGTGATGAGCGTGTTGTCTTCCTGGTGCACAGGGGCACCTTCCTCAGGGGAAATTGTATGACTGGCTTTGAGGTAGAAAGAGGGAGGGCAGAGAGCCCTTCCTGCCTCTGCGGTTTCTCGAGTGCCTTCAGCTCAAAACAATCAATATGCCAAAGTAGCATCTTTTGAGGTGGTTTGTTCTGAATCCTTTCAACATTAGGGATTGAGAAACACTGATTTTAGTTCCTCCTCTCATCTTACACATAAAGAAATAAACAAAAAAGCTAGAGAACCCGCGAGTTGAAGCAACTCTCCCAAGGTTAAACCACAGATTTGAACATTCCCAACCCAGTACTGCCCCCACGTCACGGGCACGTCTTGGTAGTCTGTGATCTCTGCCTAGAGGACAGGGGGCTGGTGGTGGAGGAGTGAGAGATTGGGGGCACCCATTCCCACTTGGGGAATCTTTCTTCCTTGCTTCCCACTAAGAGCAAGGACATTTAAACACCTCTAAGAGCTTGTCAACCACTGACATTTTTGGTCTGCAACCTGGGAATTCCCCAGGTGAAATCTGAAACTGGCCGGGTACACAGAGGGCAAAGGGAGACGGAAGAAAGAGGCAGGCCCCTCCAGATGGGGAGGCGGCAGGTTTAGCAAGCAAGGGAACTTACATACGAGGCTTGTCTTGGGTGCCACATGAGTAGACCTCCACACCTGCCTGGAGGAATCTTGAAAGTTTATACAGAGGCCTTAACGGAGCTTAGTCACATATCCAGTCCAGAGGGTCTCAACACCTTACTCTCAAGGCTACATCCTTGTAAGGGCTGCTAGTGTGGGAACAGTAGGCAGAACATACATTCCAAGGACAGGGGATGAGGTAAGGAGCCTCTGATCGCTGGGGTTCAGCTCGCAGGTCAACTGTGGTCACGTCCTCCTGATGACCTCCTCCAACAGACATTAAAAAAAAATCTAGGCCTAGGGATCCTTGAAGGAATTCTAGCTTATAGGTTTCCTTGATACCCCCAAGCTGAGGGATGTGTGCTTATATATATAGGTATAGTGTTTAGATTTTACTATGTAGCTTGTACTGCCTCCCTGTAGGAGGGAAATAAGAAATTTGATTTGTCATCCCTGACCTCACAGACCATGGGGAATAAGACTTCTACTTCTGGATGAATAAGGAAACAATATAGGGGAGTGGATTTAGGTAGCACAGTAGAGTAGGTGTCATCAGCCAACTTAGGGCAAGTGGTAGACTTTGCCTAGAGCAGAGCTGTTCAAAGTGGTTACCAGTGCGGGACGAGAAAAGTACAGAAACCGATCAAAGGTCAGAAGAGTCAGTCATGGTAGACACTGGCAGGCAACAAAATGAAATCTTGTTTAAGGGAAGTGTGGAATTGGTGGCTCAGGAAAGTTGGATGATGAGGACAGAGCCCAGGGCACCATGGAGTAATGTGGGCCACGTTTCAGTGCTGTTGTTTCCTTCTGTGCATGCTTGAATAAGGTTATGACCTTGCTGGGCCTCAGTTTTCTTGACTATAAATGGGGTTAACAATATCGTCCTTGCTGGGTTGTTGTGAGAGTTAAGCATCATGCGTATACAGCGTCTGGACATCGCAGGGCCCCTAAGGGGCAGCAGCTATTATCTGACCCGCGAGGTCAATGGAGATGGAAAGGGATGGAGAATGGCGTCCTCTCGAGGAGTTGGGCTATAACCGCCAGATGCTTTGCTGGTAAGAACTTGCACTTACCCATTCAGACCATCTGGAATTTCTAAATGAAAGATTTTTGTAACACTTTCCAGACTGCATACTTTTTTGTAGTTTCATTAAAAAAAGAATCACCTGTGGCCAGCCCCGTGGCTTAGCGGTTAAGTGCACGCGCTCTGCTACTGGCTGCCTGGGTTTGGATCCCGGGCGCGCACCAACGCACTGCTTCTCTGGCCATGCTGAGGCCGTGTCCCACATACAGCAACTAGAAGAATGTGCAACTATGACATACAACTATCTACTGGGGCTTTGGGGGGAAAAAAAAATGGAGGAGGATTGGCAATAGATGTTAGCTCAGAGCCAGTCTTCCTCAGCAAAAAAAAAAAAAGAGGAGGATTAGCATGGATGTTAGCTCAGGGCTGATCATCCTCAAAAAAAAAAAAAAAAAAATGAATCATCTGAAGTTATCTGAAATAGTTCCAAGTCATTCCACTAGCAATTTGGTGACATGGGGTGGAATGTAAGAGTATAATGTTGATTTGAAGTCTCAGTTCTGGCCATAGCCCTTTATCAGCACCAACATGTGAGGGTCATCTACACCCCACTGAGGAACACCACGCCTTATAAGGATTGACATATTAGACCCTATATATAATTTGCTCATCTGTGAGACCTACAGCCAGATGTGTGTCAATATATAAACTAATCATATTTAGGCTCGGCAAATTGAGTTGTCTCATTTCTTTGTAACCATCCTAGTGAGAGTGTTAAACAACAACCCTTCTTGGGAAGCCAACCTCAAAAAGATAGTGTCCTACCAGAGTGCAAGACCTTGGCTTCCCACAGCTTGCTGGCACTCACAATGACTGCAGGGGGGTATATGTCCCTCTGCTCTCCTGATGCTGGAGTTCACGTCTCTGGCCGGACATTTTAACCCTCACTCTGATGAGACCCTTATACAAGATCCAAAGCACATGACAGCCCAGGAGACCACTGAGAAGAGAGAACACCTCCATGGACCACAACAGGCACCGACCTGGAGACTGAGGTCCTGTGGGTTCTAGTCTTTCTCTAAGAAAGTATGCATGCTTGTGGAATGCATACTCCTGA